CAAGAAGAAACACAAATATATTTTCCATTCTGCTGTATGAAGAGAAGCTGTTGCCAAGGGGATGGGACAATGGCCTTTCCTTGCAATTATAAGAAGAACAGTAATTCTTTACGTATCCCCTGTGGATTTCTACACACAGAGACCTTCCATGATAAACCTGCTTTAAAAATATGTCTGAGTTCACCAGCTGGGGGTGGGACAGAATGTGTTATCTTAGCCTGTATTGCAAAGAGATAACTCCTGGGTTTGAAGAGACTCACATGCCTTTATTTCCTCTATGGTCATGGCACAAACACAGGTAAGAGGAAGCATTGTTGTTGTAAATTTATCCTGGTGCCATCCAGGTGGCACAGGTGGTGTCTGATCTGCTAAAGTTCCAGTGAGATTTCAGGAGCACCCTTCAAATCAGTTTCTGCATAAACCTTGATTTCTGTTCTAGGGGGGAAGGTGATAAGACAGGAGTCATGCTGCTTCTGATGCTGATGCTTTTCTGGCTCCTGGCTCCAACTATAGCGAAGAGGCTGCAAACAATTTGTCTGTTCAGGGATTATATCCATTTAGATGGAAGATACTACTGGCCTGGTGATCTCATTATTGGTGGGAATTTGCCCTTGGGAACCATTGACGACTCTCCTATCTTTGACTTTAAAACAATACATCTCCCTGTACATAATGTGTTAGTTTCATCTGGAGGGGAAACATGCAGATAATTGTTTATTTTGCTTTAAATTATGGTATTCCTTTCAGAAATATTTCTAGTATTTGTACTGTCTTGGTGTACTGCACAATTTGTGCTTTTCTCAACAAATTAGCAAGCTGTTAAAATAGGCTGGAATTCTCAATCATTTCAACAGGAAGATGGTAAATAGCAAAACTGAAGAGGGAAGCTGTACTGGCCTAGTGAAGAAGTGAAACTATAATATTAATCTGACCAATAATTTTTGGTAGAACATTCAAATAAAATCTCCACACTCTTCAAGTGTTCAGGAGTTACAGAAATCCCCCTCAGTGTTGGAATCCACATTGCTCATGTATAATGTCCTTCAGTGCATCTATGAGGTGACTCCCACTGTAATCCTGTGTTCAGCAATCTTTACCCCACCTGTAGAAGCTGCTCCAAGAGAGACCTTAAATAATTACGGTGAAAGGGGAGCAGTTGGAAAGGATTACGGCCACTGCAGGAAACTGAATATGGCAGGGAGGATACAGACTATAAAATAATCCATGATATCTATGGAAAGGCTTGTCTCCTTTATCAGAAAAGTCATTCAAGTTTAGCCAAAGGAAATCCTTTGAAAAAAAAGACAAACCCAATGAAATTTGGGACTTTCTTCTCCCAAAAGTCCCCCCAAACAGTGAAGCAAATTCTACAGCCATGCACAAGCTTTCCTGTAATGTTCCCCAATGTTTTTCTCACAACAGATACATCACATGCAACTACCAACAGTTCCTTGCATTGATGTTTGCTGTCTCCCAGGTCAATAAGGATTTTCTTCTGCTCCCCAACATCACCCTTGGCTTCCACATGTATGGCCATTTCCAGAAGGAGAACATTATTTACTTAAACAGCCTCTCCATGCTCTCCTCACAAGGTCAAAAGGTTCCAGGTTACAAATGTGACAGTAAGGACACTCTGCTGTCCGTCATTGGTGATCTCAGTGCCAAATTCTCAAGGCTGATGGCCTCCATCTTCAGCATCTTTAAGATCCCACAGGTAAGAGAGCTCTCTTGGATACAGTATGGAACAGACAAAGATCAAAAGCACACACAGAAGCCAGAAGATGAAACTAAAGGTAGTTTTTGTTCGGGGTGGGATATAATGAGCTTGTGAGTCTTATTTATTCTTCATTAAGGGTAGTCATCATTTTAGTGCCATTTATTCTTTGTATCAGGCTGTTGATTTCTTCTCTTGTCTTCTGACAACCAATAAAAATGGCTAAGAAGGGAAGAAGAGAAAGTTTGCCTGTCAAAGAGTATCAACCTGACTGCGAGGGCCATCAACCACACAATGGTCACTACTAAAGTCAGCATAAAACTTTTACTTGGTCTTTGAAAAAAATAATCTCATTTTCTACAGCTTGGTGTTGGCTTTGAGTTTTCTCAGGGAGAGAGAAGAGTTTATCCTTCCTTCTTCCGGATTAATCCCAAGGAATCTCCTCAATATGTGGGTTTAGTCCAGCTGCTGCTGTATTTCCAGTGGAACTGGGTTGGGCTTTTGGCCCCTGAAGATGACAGAGGAGAACGTTTTGTGTCAACTCTGACACCAATGCTCCAGGAGAAGGAGATCTGCCTGGCCTTCACTCTAATGCTGAAATCAGATAACTTGCCTATCGCTCGGAAGACATTTACTCGCAATTTCCCTATTTTGTTTAAAACAGAAGTGTTTATTCTGTTTGCAGACACAATCATTGTTAGCAGTGTAATTGTGGCATTTTATTTTTTTGAAAATATCAGAAAAGTATCATTTAAGAAAGTTTGTATCTTCGCTTCCCATTGGAAACTTGGCTTGGGTGATTCTGAAGACACATTGAAAATTATAAAGCTTTATAATGGGGTCTTGCATTTTAGAGGCCACTCCGGGGATGTCTCTGAATTCCACCATTTCCTTCTGCCTTTAGACCCCTTGAATCCCCAAGGAGATGTCTTTCTCCCTCAATGGTGGGAATTTGTCTTTGACTGCAAGATCCATAAATCAGGAAAGATCCCTCCTAATGGGGAAAAACAATGTACAGGAAAGGAGAATCTGCAGAATCTGCCCAATTACACTATTGAAAAGAGAATGACAGGAGAAAGTTACAATATCTACAATGCTGTTTATGCTCTGGCACATGCTTTATGTGCAATTTCTGGATCCAGAGTTGGATCATCCATGATGAAGCTTGGAACGAGGATCTCAAATGTCCAGTCATGGCAGGTAATTTCTGTGGCTTTCGACTCAGTCCATAGACTCTTAAATCTGAAGCTCCCCATATTATTTTTTTCAGTTCTTGATTAAATGTCTACATACTCCCATACCAATTCATCTGACACCCTGCCCTTTTGTTTAGTTTACCATTCGTTGTGCTACTCAGCTTGCTGTGTGAAAACAGCTTCTGATTAATAATGGATGGAAACTAAACAAGGAGAGGAGCAACGTAGAACTAAGGAGAAATTTTTTAATGAACGGTTTACCTTTAAAACAGTGGTTCACAATCTTTTTTTCAGCATGCCCCACCTAAGCATCTCTAAAATCCTGATGCCCCCAGCCCCAATGGCATATAATTCTTACTTTACTCAAAAAGTGAACTCTACTCATGTGGAGGAAGCCTTAAAGGCCATTAACCTGGTTTACACAAGGTTCAAACTGCCCCCATTACAAATCAAATTGCCCCACTGTTGGGCATGGGTCCCACTTTGGGAACCACTGCTTTAGAAGGTCATGGGTGCCCCATTGCTGGAGTCATTTAGGGAGAGACAAAATAATAGCCACTTTCTAAAACTGTTGAGGGTCTGTTGCTTGAGCAGAGGGTTGGACTAGAAGACTTCCAATGTCCCTCCCAATACTGTGATTCTGTTTCTATGGCAACCACAGCACAGAGCAAGATTCAAAGTGGATCTAATAGGTTCTTAGTTCTGATAGAAATGAATTATTCAATTCAAACATTCATTTATCAGACTACTATTTTTCCAGTTTAAACTTTCCACTTACTTCTATTGTTACTGTATTGCATAATCTATCCATCATGTCTCAGCCTTTTTAGAATTTCATCATTTATTAATTTTTTAGGGATTTATTTATATTTCTGTCTTGGAAACCAACGTCTTTCTAGCCGTTTTACACAAACTCATCATTCCCTCTCTTAAACCTTTTTCTCCTTCTGCTGCATCTTTTGAATATCCATTCATATCCCTTTCATTATTTTTGAAATATCTTCCTTTTACCTCCTCTCTAGTCTGTTATGAGTTCTTTGGGTATTGTCTATTTGTTTTCTAGTATTTATTATTGCTCTTTTCAGTATTTGTAATTGTTTTTATCTTTTTGTATTTTATTTTGCTTTGTCCCTTCCGCCACTCCTTCTCATTCCTCAGCTGTCTTCTGTATGTTATATTCGTCTTTCCCCACCATTTGTTGAGAGCCTTCTACTTTCACATCTTTATCTTTACAGTAGTGGCCAAAATTGTGGAAACCCTTTGGGAAAAGTGTGTTTTCTAAAACTAGCTAATAACACCACTTTTATTTGGAGTAGTACCATAAAATTATACATCAATGGAAAGATAATTTAATCAAGAATGTAATGCAATAACTTTTATGAAGGATTTGCTATTAGAATAGCAGTTAGAGTATAAAGAAGAAAATGAAATAT